AGGAGAGGAGGGGAGGGGAGGGGAGAGAGGAGGGGAGAGGAGGAGAGGAGAGGAGAGGAGAGAAGAGGGGAGAGAGGACAGGAGAGGGGGGGAGGGAGGAGAGGAGAGGAGGGGAGAGAGGACAAGAGAGGGGGGGAGGGAGGAGAGGAGAGAGGAGGAGAGAGGAGGGGAGAGAGGACAGGAGAGGGAGGGGAGGGAGGAGAGGAGAGAGGAAGGGAGAGGAGGGGAGAGGAGAGGGGAGGAGGGAATGCACTCCCCTGCGTACATGCATCCTACAGCAAACACAGAGCCTCCTGGCTCGCAGACCCCAGCCAGATCCCTGTCCTAAGGAGGGCCCTTACCTCAGTCCCCGACTTGGGCCTGGGTGCCCCTGTGGCACAGCAGCCATCCACCCCAGCCTCAGTGTTCTGAACGCGGACCAGGAAGAGTCCTGCACATCCCACACGCCACAGGTCCCCTCCCTGATTCAGCAGGGGTTCCAAATGTCCCTGGCCTGGACCTCCCCAGGCCTTTGCCTCCTACTAACCTCTGTCCCCTCCCAGCAGATGTCCCGCCTGGCCCTGCCTCAGGCAGCCCCAGACCCGCCGGCCCCGCCCCTGCCGCCCCCTGCCTCAGCCTGGGGAGGCATCAGGGCAGCCCATGCCGTCCTGGGGGGTTTGCACCTGACGCTGGACTGGGCCGTACGGGGGTTGCTGCTGCTGAAGACTCGGCTGTGATGGGAACCCAGAGCCACCATCGTCCTCGCAAGCCAGATGTTATTTATTTATTTATTTCGGGACGGGGCATGCCTGCCAGGGGACAGCCCCTCCCCAGGTCTCCCCAGTTACAGCCCTCCCTGGAGCCCCAGGGAGGATGCCTGTGCTTTATTTATACTTATTTATTTAGCAGTGGGCGAGGCGGTGGGCTGCAGGGCCCTCGCAGAGGGGCCGGGCTCCTACTCGGCACCTGTCTGCAGGCTCTGGCCCTACCCTCATGCAGGGCAGGAGCGAGCATTATTTATTAAACGACCCTTTCTGTGTTGGAGTGGGCAGGAGGGAGAGGGAGGCCTGGCTTTCATACAAGCGTGTAATGCGCCCTGTGGGGCAGAGGTGGGGGAATTCGTCATACGCACCTACTTAGGGGTGACTTTGCTGAGGCCTGGGACAGGCAGACAGCAAAAGGTCACTCGGAGAACTCCATGGAGCCAGGCCTGAGCCTCCTCTGGTGCCTGGCCCTTCGGAGGCTCGTGGTGAATATTTCATGGGAATTCTAGAAGGTCCCAGAGGGCCGCGTGGGACCCACCAAGCCGAGGACACGCTCCAAGCTCAAGATGGTCTGTTACGGCGATGTCGACAAGGGCGGTTAGAAACACCTGGATGTCCCAGAGAAGGGCATTGTCCTCGTGCGGAAATGCCACCTGGTCATAAACAGGCCTGTCACCAGAGAGACACGAAACAGCAGGTTCAAAACCACCCTGCGACCCCAACTTGGGGTTTCTCTTCCCGTGTATATGGATTTTTAAAGCCCTGTTAATACTAAAGTTCTGACAATGGCTGTCTCAAGGTTGGAGGTGAGGGGGGCTGGGGTGACTTACTGTCTGCGTTTGTGTTTGTCATTTCTAGTGACTGTTTTGCATGACACATTTACAAAACAATAAACTATTTTTAGAGTGACAGAATACCCACTGCCCCGCCCCCCCAGAACTGCCCTCTGACTCTTGGTGCCCCCCGCCCCACACTGTGCTGAATGTTGGCTGCGTCTTTCCACCGCCCGGCCCCCCTCGCACACTGGCCTGCGCGGGGCGTCTGAGCTAGGGGAGACAGGCGTGCTGCCCCAGGCTGGCTCTCCCCACGGCTGTGCCCCTTCCTTGCGGCTCAGTTCGGGAGCCGCTGCCATGGGCATGCACACCTGCTAAGGAAACAGTCTCAGGCAGGGGTTGGGCTTGGC